GACTAGATCTGTAATATACAAACTAAGTAATGTGATAGATGAAGATTCAGATAAAACATTCACAAGATTTACTGTAATATATCTGTATTTATAACATAGGAACGAAATAGTATGATAGGTTAGGTGAAGACTAAGATAAAATATTCACAAGGTAGAATAGGCCTGTAATATAGAAACTAAATAATATGATAGGATTGGTGATGGTTGAGGTTAAACATTTCAAGGTATATTACAACAGTAATATACATACAATAATATATATACAAGTTATTAGAAATTATTTATATCAAAAATTTGATATGTTAATTTTTTGTTTGAATTTCACACAGAAGACTATCAGTACTAGATGTCCCTAATTTTGAACTGCAGGAAAGGCAGTTAGTCAACATCACTCACTGCAAACTCGGCTTCTCCAATTGAGTGGTGGGATTTGACTTTTACTCCTATCATACCCCTATGGCCATAAAGTGTGGAGCTTTTTCTTCTTTTTTTTAGGCAGTGATAAAGGGCATGCATCACAGTGCAGCATGCTAATTACTGGGACTCCCTTGTTTCTCAGTTTTACATTAAATTTATTAAAAATCATGTCACATCAAGAATTCCGTTTTATGTTCAACCTATTCAAAATTGTTTTAAACTACATACACATTATGGCATCAACTTTTCTAGTTGTAAGAGATAATCATGTTTATAGATTATTTAAACAGAAACTACAGATCGAAAAAACTGGTCTGTACAAATAGTGACAGACATGAGGAAAGTTGAAGTATAAAAATATTATGCAAGTTTTATATTTTGTAAAGATATCTACATAAAAGTGTTTATTGTTTTGTAAACCTATTTCCTTTTTTTTTGTTTACCCACAGGTGCAGGAAAACTAGGTTTTTCTTTCGTACGAATAACAGCATTACTTGCTTCCTGTAATCGACTCTGGCTTGGAACGGGAAATGGAGTCATCATTTCAATACCTCTCTCACCAGGTAGAATATTGCCGTGATGTGTGTCTTCTTTTATCCCATTAACTACACTAGGAGGTCTAATTTTATCTACTTTTATCACTTAATATATATTTTAATGTAATTTGGACTTTTAACATTATTTAAAGGTCTAAATCTCTTTCATCCACAAAACATATCTCCAGAAAACTTTCCTTATATATCCAAATCATTCGAAAGCACTTAATTGGTAAATATGTCCCTAAAGAGGGTTTTGTGTTAGTAAACAGTGTTTTGTTTTGCAACATGTCACTAGACAATACTTTGTTATCCAGCCTTATCACTAGACAATACTTTATCCAGCATGTAACTAGACAGTGTTGTGTTATCCATCTCTGTCAGTAGACAGTGTTTGGTTATCCAACATGTCACTATGCAATGTTTTATTATCCATCTCTGTCAGAAGACAGTGTTTTGTTATCCATCTCTGTCAGAAGACAGTGTTTTGTTATCCATCTCTGTCAAAAGACAGTGTTTTGTTATCTTTCAGGTTACCAGGTAATGTTTTATCCAACATGTCACTATGCAATGTTTTATTATCCATCTCTGTCAGAAGACACTGTTTTGTATCCATCTGTCCATGTGGTTAAACAGTGATTGTCCATCTAAAACATGCAATGTTTACAAAAAAAATACAATATACTTAATAGTATTAATTGAACTGTATAAAAGTATGTACACTTTTCTTATTTATTTCTCTGTAAGAAACAGCATGTGTTCTACTGAAATAGACAAATATACAGTTACAAAATTATTGCATAGAATTACAATAGCTGGTACAAAAGCACTGTTCAATTTTTAATAAACCTTTTGTGTATATATATTTATATTTCAAAATATTCAGATTTTACAAAAACCTGCAGTGATGACAGAGAAAGTAACAAGGATGTTGCTACTTCGTTGAAGTTTATTCCTTATTGCTCAATGGTACAAGCACAGTTGTCATTTCATGGTCACCAGGATGTGGTTAAGTTTTTTGTTAGTGTACCAGGTGAGATAATGTTTATAGCACGGTTTATTAGCTACAATTAGCTACTGGTGTATATCTTTAAATATATAGTGTTGTTTAGTAATTTCTTTAATAATCTGGCACTATACTCAGAGTACAAAAACAAGTAATGAAATGTTGTAGTGTAAAAATATTCTTTAATTTAGTGATATCATAAAATCCTTAGCACAAATATAATTAAGCATAGTGTTGTATAATTCATGGTTAATTAATATTTACTTCTGATCATAACTAGAAATATATCGTTATAATAAAACTGTGAGCACAAACATTGTTATATGCATTAGTGTAGAATTGTTGACATATTTCATACTTTAGCAAAAGTTGATTGATATCTGTGTATTGTGATACAACTTCTTTCAAGTGTATATAATGTGATACAAAACTAGAGAATTCTTCATTGACCTAACCATATAACAAAATCTTATTTGGGTTTATGTAATGTAATACAACAATTAAAAGCTTTTTCGTTAATGTAAAATGTAATAAAGCTTAATTTAGGTGTATATCAAGTCATACAACAAATAAATGATTGTTTATTAATCAAACAGTATAATAAAGCTTGGTTCAAGTTTATATAAGGTAATACCACAACTTAATGTTTGTTTATTGGTCTAACAGTGTAATAAAGCTTGATTTGGGTGTATATAAGGTAATACCATAACTAAATGATTGTTTATTGGTCTAACAGTATAATAAAGCTTGATTCAGGTGTATATAAGGTAATATCACAACTTAATGTTTGTTTATTGGTCTAACAGTATAATAAAGCTTGATTTGGGTATGTATAGCATGTAATACCACAACTAAATGATTGTTTATTGATCTAACAGTATAATAAAGCTTGATTCAGATGTATATAAGGTAATACCACAACTTAATGTTTGTTTATTGGTCTAACAGTATAATAAAGCTTGATTCAGATGTATATAAGGTAATACCACAACTTAATGATTGTTCATTGGTCTAACAGTATAATAAAGCTTGTTTCAGATGTATATAAGGTAATACCACAACTAAATGTTTGTTTATTGGTCTAACAGTATAATAAAGCTTGAT